AGCTCATTTTGTGTGGGCCTCTTCTGGCCACACCATCTCCCTTGGAAAGCTCAAGTGCCACCTGAAGGGTCCCTGCCTTGAAAGGGACATGATGGCAGCAAGGCTGAAGATCTCCTGCAGCTCTAAGAGTTGAACTGACTCAAACAGGACAGCCTGTTGCCAACACAAGCCCTTCTGGCCACGTTTCATTTGGGACACTGGATGATGCCCAGGGAAGAAGGATGTGTTAACAAGCAGCCATGAAGGACAACACTTGCAAAGAACAGCAGGAAGTGGTAGGAGATGCCAGGAGCACATTGCACAGGCACAGATGTCATCTGTGGAGAGGGCCGGTTGTTTCCTCTCGGCACAGAACTTCTCCCTGGCCAAGCAGTCATGAAAGCAGCAAGTGTGGAGGCAGCTCCTGCCTCCATGGGCAGAGGAAGCAGCTGTCCAGGCTTGCCAGCAGCTCTCAGGCTCAGTACAGCCCTGCTCAATGGAGAATGAAGCAAAAGACAAAGAAGCCAAACGTTACACTAAGCTTAGCTGTTCCTCAAGTGCCCCCAACTTCTGACAGCCTTCCAACTCAAAATGTCTCCTCTTCAAAGGGTCTGACACCCTTCCAACTCCAACTCAAGGCTTCTCCTCTTCAAAGGGTCTGAAAACCTTCTAACTCAAGCCTCCTCCTCCTCAAAAGGGAAGCTGAACACTCTGAAGACCTTCTGCTAATTCAAGAGTACCTTGGAAAAAACCAAGACAAAAAAACCCACCCAAGGAATTTGGAAGTGACTTTGCTGCAGCCTGCTTCTTCTGCTCCTCCCTCTTAGCAATAATGTGAGCACCACCATGTGTGGACATGGGCTCTGCTCCCTCAGCAAGGTGGAAATGAGCAAATGCAAACAGGTGGGATACACAACACCAAGATCTGCATCTCAAGAGCCCTTGGAGAAGAAGGGCAGTCCTGACACAGCCCAGGTCACACAGAGCCAGGTCTCTCTCCCAGAAGGTCACAAGTTGACATTTCCTTCATGATCAAGCTGTTTGGAGTTGGAAATCCTAACAACTTACACACAGAGCAACCTGCTGACCTGGGTGGTTTATTTACTGCAGGCTGCAAGGAGCAGCAGAGCTGGGTCCCCTGCAAACACATTCAGTGCATTTTTATGGGCAAAGCAGAACAAAGGACAATGTTCACAACTGACCAAAAGCAAAGGAGAACAAACCATTTTGCCCTGCAAAGTCAAAATTCCTAAATCCAAGGAGTAAGGCTGAGACCTGGATAACAGGGGCACAGAATTCCATGTAAGTTTAGGAGGGATCACACGCTCTGATTTATTTATTTTTTAAGCCCTGAATATATAAATTCACAGTTAGTTGTGACTATAAAAACCAACCATGGAACCCAGCTTGACAAGGATGGTCAATAACCATTTGAAACACTCCAGAAAAGGGCATTAGGATGTTTTTAAATCAATAGAGACCCTGCCTGAGGCGTTCATCATCAAGGCTGGCTATTAGAACTCAAAATTAATTGATTTTTGCAAGCAGCAGTTTCCCAGACTGAGAATGGTGTGAACAGCAGGATGGACACAGGCTGGGTCTGGCACTGATGGTGCCTCCAGCCCACAAGACCCCCTGAGCTTCTACAGCTGGTCACATTTAAGGAAAAAAAAACCAACTCCCAATCCCACCAACACCAAGCTGTGATGTCCTCAAACCTCACGGTTCACTTAAGTAACAAGTTTAATGAAATCTCATTTCTTTAGTACACTATTTCTTAAGAAACACCAGTTTCTTTTTCCAATTACTGATCCTATCTAGATTTACTTACTGGCCACCCATGGAGCCCATGTCCCCATTGTCACAGCACCATTTCCTAAGTCACACCCCACCAAAGGTCAGTCGAGTCCTTAAAACAAGCCCTGATTCCTCTAAGTAACATTAGTGACTTCCCAGTGCTGGCAGCACGATGCCAGAAACACTCCATGCCCCCTTGGCACGGGCATCCATGCCTCTGGGATGGACAATGAGCCAGCAGAGATGCTGCTGGTGAGCCAGGAATTTCAGCAGATGTTTCTTTGTGGCTCAAGTCAACAGCCAGCTCAGAGACTACTACTCTTAACTCCCCAGGCCCAGGGCTGCACTGAGGATGCTCCCAGCTGAGCACTAAACAGTTGGTATTTGCCTCCAAGCCCTTTCCAGCCCCACTGCTGTGAACTCCTCTGCCCCAGAGCACCCAGAAGGCATCTCCTTGGACACAGGATCTCCCCCTGCAATAGGGCAGCAAGGATGGCACAGCCAGAGGGGAAGAGGCTGCAGGGGAACATCTCTGGCTCCTGCTCTGCTCCCTCACCTGACCAGGAGCCACGTGCATCACTGGGCACCAGGACAGGGAATGGCTGTGCCTGGCTGCTCCATATCCAGTTTGTAGGAGAATGAGTCACAGCTCAGGTTTCAAGGTGTGATGCTGGATGTAAATCCCTTCCGAGAACTACCCCAGAACACACACACAGAGCTGGGGCTGCTCAGATCCCCCCAGCCCTGCAGCCTGGGATGACCCTGCCCAAACCCCCATGGCAGGGAGGGCACAGCCCAGCAGGTCCCTCCACAGCACCTGAGGGGCTTCACCTGCACCCTGAGGAACGAACAAACTCCTCAGCTTCATCCCAATCTGTTCCAAGGGAGGCAGAGAAACATACATCACATCCCCTGCCTACCCAGACATATTAAACAAGGCTGGATTCTCTTTCATTTGTAGTAATTAAAGCCTAGTGATTATCCCACTGACCAGATACCGTCTAGACACAGACTTTCCTCTGCAATCCATACCAAATCCACCTGTACTCCACTGCATGTGGCTACCTGTGCACATCCACATATCCAGAAGGCAGCTGTGACCAACTTCCCTAAATATCCTGTTTGCATCCAGCACTGATGCCAGCTGTGGGCTGGGGAGGAGCTGCAGGACAAGGGGAGCAGAGCCCAGCCCCATCCAGATGCTACCATGCCTCCTCACTCCCTACTAATAACTTCCAAGGGATGGGAAACCAAGGGATTTGGGACCAGGGGGAAGATCTGAGCCACCTCAACTCACTGCTGACTGGGGGAAAAAGCAGAATAATTTTTTTTTTCTCTCAACAGAATAAATGAGGGATAGATCCAACTGGTGCATTTCTTCCATCTCCCTTTCTATAGGTCTAAAATGAACCTTCTCCCTTGCTCAGTGCAGCTTTAGGGATCCCACCAACCCCAGTGTGACAGCACAGTCCCTCCTGCTCCAGCCCCTCACAGCCACACCAAACCCACGTTCACATCCCAACAGCAAAGAGCTCAGACACGCAGGGCCCTGGAGAGCTGCATGTCCACAGGTTCTCCAGCCACCTCCATCCCAGCTCTCCTGCTCCTCACCACCATCCCCAGTCACAAGACATCTGCAAAGCAAGGCAGGGCTGTGCTTTGGGATTCTTCTCTGTTTTCACAGCTTTAGTGATTTTAAAGCTTGTAAATATGCAGGAAGGGTCAGTGATTCAGCTGTGATTAAGTCTGAAATATTCCACTTGGTACTGATTTAAAAATACCCATGGTGTTTCCAGAGCATCCCCCAGGGCACAGCCAAGCACCACCCAGAGCTGGGGAAAGCTGCTCATTTTATTTATTTTTTTGGAAGGCTTGAGGTGTCTTGTGAAAATACTGAGTTCATTTCAGTAAGTGAAAACAAAAAGCAAGAGACAACAAAAGAATTAATGTTTTATAGCTTCTTGGTGCCATTTCCCCAGAGAGAGGAAAAACAATGAAGTCAAATGGAAATTTTCTATTCTCAAAACCACTTGCACTGTTATTTTTACAACTAAAAGAAGAAGAAAACACAAAATCCCAGCATCTCAAGTTTCTGAAAATTGCAGGTTACCTGCTTCTTTTTTTCCCCTTGAATTAAAAAATAAAGAAATTAAACTGCACCCAGGCTGTAAAGTTTCCATCCCACAAAATCATGGAAAACCTTCCAACAGCCTTACAGCCTGCAGGGCTGGAGCAGCCTGCAACCTCTTGCCCCAGGAGCTAAAAGATCTCAAGGACCTGAATTCTGCTGAATCTAACACAAAATTTCCTTCCACCTCTTTGGAAAAATCCAAGCTGATATTTCAAGTACTGAGAAATCCTGTGGACTTGCAACACTTTATGGAACGTGTAATTAAGCAGTTAAATAACAGAGCCTGGTTTAAGAGGCTCGTGCTACTCTTTGGAAAAAGAAGGATCATTTCTTCATCTCAACCTGCTCCCAGTTGTACCCAAAATATCATCAACTGCTATTTCAATATCTCTCCAAGAAAAAGCAGGGGAGCAGTAAGATTAATTCATCTAATGTCTAATGAAAATTGTGTTGCCTCAGAGGAGCCATCCCTGAGCAGGCAGGTGTAAGAGTGGAGCCACCAGCCCCTCTACACACCCTGGAGCTGGGGAAGCCTGATGAGGTCCCACCACCTTGACTAAGAAGTTCCTCCTTTAAAATCTTATTTAAGGAGGAAAACAGCTGCCAACATGGCATTTTATCACACTTTGGCAGCTCTAATTCTATTAACCTCCAAAAATGAGACGTGACAGCATGACTGCAAGTCCTAGTCTAGAATCAGGGAGGGTGACCAAGGGTCAGTGTCATGGGGCACCTTCCACGTGGCATCACTTGGCGAGGGCAGGGCGAGAGCTCACGCTGAAAATGATCTGATCTCCAGCTAAGCTGATGATTTCATTTCCCTGGTGCATGAGGTATCTCATTATCAACACTTCACAGACACAGACAGACGTGCAAGTGGTTGTGAGAACTGCAGCAGAAACACAAGTGACAGTTCCCCAAACAAGAGCCAGAAGAGAGACCCAGAGAGGGAGGAGCAGGTGCACTTTGCATGCTCGTGCCAAAACCAATCTCATTTCAATCACATACGTGACAGTTTGGGTGCCAGTTTACAAGGGGTATTTCCCCCGTTGGTATATGACAGGATGCTTGCCTGGATGGAGCCCAGCTCTACCTATCCGGATGGACAACTCGCTCTCGTGGTCCAGGTGATGAGCAGGTTCTTGCTCATATTTCTCTTTCACTGCTCGTTGGTCACAGCTCAGGGCAAACGCTGCGTGGGGAGCTCCACTGAAACCCTGCAAGGCAAGACAGAAATGTAAGGGGTTTTCTCACATCTCCCCCTTCAAGCTTCTCCCAGGCCCCATCCTCTGGCATCTGTGGTGTTGGGAAGACCACCAGGGCATCACAGCAGCTCCTCACAGGAACACAGAGACGTGTCTTTTGGGTTCCCCTCTCTGCAGATCACCTGGTTGTTTAGACTTAAATGTGCATTTCCAGCAGGAACATCAAGAACAGGGTTAGCAAGAGCTGTGGGCCAAGAAGCACAGGGCTAATGAGGGAAAGCCAAAACTCAGGTGCAAGAAATGTAATTCCACAAACACAGAAATGTAATTCCACAAACACAGCTCCCTCCAAAGTCAACCTGAAGGAGACCAAGCAGGCAAGGAGGGACATTCACAGCTGTCAGCACTGCTGAGCCACTCGCAGAGGCTTGAGCTATTGGGTTGACCTCTTGATTGAGTTTACAAGGGAAACAGTTTGTTCAAAATCAAACCCATCTGAGGATCAAACGAGACTCTATGTTCACATCCACCCAGTGTTATTGCAGTGGGACTTGCCCAGATGACCCAATGAAATTTCAGACTGACTTGGAATATGTTCCTACCCCACTTGTAACCTTCAGAAAGCAGGGAGGGATGGCCAAAACCAACACCATTCAGTCTGCAGGGAACCCAAGCAGACGCCCTGAGGCAAGAGGGACCGTGCTGCTCCCACGAGCAGTTCCTGCCAACCTGGACACAGCTCATGAAAACCAGACACAAAATCAGACACAACTCAAGGATGTGCCAGAATCTTTATCTGCCTCAGCCAAAAAAAAAATTAAGAAATCCTGGTAGACACCATTTTTGCCTTTTCCCCACAGTGCTGGACAAGTGGCAGGAAAGCTGGCATCTCTGCATGTCCCCAGGCTGCTCAAAGCCACCCAGAAACAGCCACAAAACTGATAGAAAATAAGGGGTTGGAGGCACAGCTGAGAGAAGAGAATGTCCTACAGTGAGGGCTGGATGACCTGGTGTAACCAGCTCTACCCAAAACACAGAGAATGGGACCTTGAGTCCACCCTGGGGAACCAGCCCCTGGGAGCATCTGCAAGGAAGGGTGGTCCAAGCTGCACATGGAATCATCACCCAGGAACAGGGGCTTAGCTGTTGGGCTGGTGGCAGCAGAACAAACACTGAACAGCCTGGGATGGTAATGAGAGACTCGATGGGTAAGGTCATGTTAAAGAAAAATAAAGGTTAAAGATGAATAACTAAATCATCTCGTCACCCATATTTGAATAGTATAGTCTGACCAGCACTATTAATACTAATCACATATTTGCTATCTGCTCTCTGTTGCAGTTTAATCAGGGTTCTTTCACCTCTGTTAACCCAGGCACTACCAGAAGCACTGAGGAGGTGCTGGTGTTTAAATGCCCCTGGGAGAAGGGAGACCCACCCCCCCCTCCCCCCAGAGGTACTAGCAGCTCTGCATCCCAGCTCAGCAGCAGCTGGAAGAACAGGTAGAAATACAAATGTGTTCCAGCAAAACCTGGAGGACATGACACAGTGAGGGAAGAAGGAAGTTCAGCATCACCACCCAATTTGGATAAGGCAGGAAGGGACCAAGAAGGGAAACTCAGGGGCTGGCCCTGCTGCTGGCACTTCTGCAGCCCTGTCTCCCCATGTCCAGGAGAGAGCCTGCTCCTGCTAAAGCTAAATGGGTTTCCACCTCTGGAAGGTGAGTAGCATCACTTTCAGGAAAATGCCAACCTGAGGAGAAGCAAGGATGGAAATTCCAAGCCATAGAAGTAAAGCCTCAGCCTTAGAGAGCAGAGGAAGGAGCTGCCAGCCCTGCACGGGGCTCTCCAGCCGCGCTCACCTCAGACTTGGGGAACACCAGGTTTACAGAGCAGAAGGCTTCTCCTTCCAGCCTTTCATTAAATGAGCTACAGACACCACAAGAGCAGCTTTGTAGGCTTTATCACCAACCACTGCCTCCCGCTGCGCTCACCTCAGACTTGGGGAACACCAGGTTTACAGAGCAGAAGGCTTCTCCTTCCAGCCTTTCATTAAATGAGCTACAGACACCACAAGAGCAGCTTTGTAGGCTTTATCACCAGTTGATTTGTGGCTTCCCCCAACCCAAAGGCAGCTGCTTCTCACACCTGTGGCTTGTCCACGCAGGCAGGAGTGAGCACAGGGCACGGCAGAGCCCGTGGGTCCCCACGAGGGACAACAACTCAACCAAGGGGAAAAGAATTAACTTGTACAAGCACGAGGGTAACATCCAGCATGCCCTCAATTACCAAGCAAGGTCAAGACCACTTGCCTCAAGGTCTGCAGCCCTAATGAGACTCTTTTCTGTGCCACCACCCTCGGCACATCAAATCCTTATCACCATGGAGCCCGTAAATCTACTTGCACCAAAGGGGAGGCAAACCTGAGGATACTTCAGATGGTTATTGTGAGGTCAGGTCACCTCTGCTGGCAGGCACACACACACAGCACCAGCAATTTGAAAAAATATCAGTGACCTTCAGCAAAGCACACGATTTATTCCAACTGTGATGGCTCTGAGTCAGTTCAGCCCAATCCCTGCGTGAGTCCCTTAATTGGAATGTGTCAGTGGGTTAAAACAACATTAGAAAGAGAAGAGGAAAGTCAACCCACATTAATTAGTTCATGGCACTAATTAGCATTAACTGAAATAACCACGGGGGCTGATTATTTCAAAAAAGCCTGATGCAATGACAGACTTGGGCAGGAAGACCCGTGGAGCTTGGAGGGAAACTATTCTGGGCCGCGGGAGTTCCCGCCGTGCCCGGCTCTGCTGGGGGAGCTCCAGTGGAAAGGATGTGAGGTTATCACAGCCTCGTGTGCACAGGAGATGAGAGAAAAACAGGTGTCTTTGCAGACAGCAGAACAGAGCCCCACTGCACACAGCATCCATAAAAACAGGCAGATCCTGCTTTTGTTACCCAAAAGCTGCAGCAATTCAACTGCATGGAAACGTGCCCCTCTCCTGAGCACCCTGGGCAGTGCAGCCCTCACTGTGGGATAGATGGGATCACCCTGGTACTGCAGGGCAAAGGGGTGAGGCAGGGAGGAGGTGGCAGCTGGTGGCTTTTAGAGCAAAGGTTTGGGATTGCACCCTGCTGCCCCCCCAGCCTCTTGGGCAGAAGCTGCTTCAACAAATTGAATCCAGTTTTAAAGAAGGAACGGAGGGTGAGTGACACCTTTAAGAAATAATCTGTTATTCCCCACCTGAGCAATGGAGGAAAATAAATCAATAAAGAAATTGTGGTGACAAAACCTGATGGTCTGGCTTTGGGTAGGTCACTGGGTACCAGCTCTGGAGGTGCTGCTTGCCCAGGAAGGTCGGTGATGCTGCTCCTCCCATGCAATATCTTATTGGCTCTGACCCCTGGAGCTCTGGGAAGCCACAGGAAACACAGCCCATAATGCATCCACTGACAGCAGAGAGCACCACATCAGGGAAGAGAAATAGAATAAAATTTACTACCTTATAAAAACAAAAATAATAAAAGAAAATGATCCTAACTTGTCCAGAAGCTGAAGCAGAGAAAGTAAGAGACAGTGAAGAGCCAGGCTTTGATGGTGCCCAGAGGCTCCCGTTTCACACTTATTAGAAGAGAGAAAGTGATAACAGCTCAGAGACCAGAAAGCCATAAAAGAAGAGAGGGGTGAGGGGCAAGAAGAGCTGCAGATCCCCAGCCCATGTCAGTGGGGATGGACACAATGTCTCTGCAGCCCCCATGTCCCCCTGCTGAGCCCTGTGAGCATAGGCTGCTCACTCAGCTCCAGCTGCTGCACATCTGCACAGAGCCCAGCACCTCTGGGGACACAGACAAAGGCTGTGCAGCAAAAAGGCAGCCAGTGCCTGGCTCTTCTGAGGCAGGTACACAGCTTTATGTTAAAAACATAAAACAGGATCAGCTGGGAAGGGAGCTGCCTCGGAATGTGCTTAGTTCTCAGAGAGTGTCCATGTGCATGTGGAACAACAGGCTGGCAGTTTGTCTGGGAAACAACACACCAAGGGCTCAATGCTCTCACTTCACCCTCTGCCAGCACAGAGCTGGGTGAGAGTCCCTGTGCTGGCATTTGTGACCCACCCGAGCCAAAAAAAAACACGGGTGACTATGACCCACTTGGGCTTCACCCCTGCCTGGAGCTAGGCTGGGGCTCCTCACCAAGGCTCCATGCTGTTTGGTGGCACCTGGAGCCAGTGCCCATCAGAGGAGCACCCAGTTGGGTGGGTGAGGATGTGCCTGGGATGGGGTTTGAAGGCTGGGGCCAGTCGTGCTGCCTGAAGCCTGGATGCCACCAGGCATCCCCCCAAAAACTAGCCAGTCAGCTCCACATTCCCCCAGCACAGCATCCCCAGTGCATTGCCTCACTCTTCTGGGGGAAAAAAAAAGCCTGGGTTTGGTCAATATTGACCTGGCACAAAGTTAAGAGACGGAGCTAGCAGGCAGAGATTGAAGAGGACTTGAATTGCAGCTCCTCTCAAAGCCAGGATCACTGCCAACCCCACACTCAAAACACTAAAGTCAACAACTGAAGTGCAACCTTAAACACTCCACGCAATAAAAAAGCCTTTCTCGGTGCTGAAGTGGGTGCAGTCCCAGCTGTGATGAACAGCACCCACCGCAGGGCTCTGGGACTCAGGAAATCCCAATTATCCCCCCTCCTGCAGTGCCTGGCAGCCCCGTGCCCCAGCACAGCCCAGTCCAGCTGCTCACGGTCACAACTGGGTCTCACCAGCAGCACCCAAACCCCTCTGATCACACAGACCACGCACCCATAAGTTAGGAATAAGGCTGGGGCCCCCCAGCACGCCCTGGAGCACTGCTCCAGCTGTGGACCAACAGCCAGCTGCCCCAGTCCCACACCAGCCAAACCCCAGTTAAGGAACATGAAAAGCCAAACATATTTCCATTAAAACAATTTTCAAGTTTAAGGGTCTCCAAGTGTTCCAGGTAAATCTTGGTTTGCGTTTTAGTTTGGAT